TGTTACTAAATTTACCAACCAAATATAAATGTGTTGGTAAATTAGTAACGAAATGTAATTTGTTGGTAAACTTGCCAACCAATATCCAATTAGTTGAAAATTTTGCCGACGAATAAAGATTGTAGTTAGTAAATTACTAACATCATTAAAATAGTTGGTAATATACCAACCGATCATTTTGGTAAAATTTACCAACATATTAATTATTTATTGGTAAATTATTAATTACTAACTTATATTTGAATAGTTGGTAAATTTATCAATTGAAGTTAAACTTTTTGGTAAATCAGCGTCTAGTGTTGAGGCTTTCTTATTCAGTTTGTGTTGTTAGGCGTTTTAACTTTTAAATTTTAGCCAAAACTTGACTTTGGTCGATATTTTTGGTAAACGTGCTCAGATTAGAACTCTATCAATGTCATTAGCTTCGAAAGGTCATTTTTTATCTAACAGGAAGGTTGGTTCAAGTTTTGAGGCTTCCGTTTTTTGTTTGTGCCGTTAGGTGTTTTAAATCTTATGTTTTGGCCAAAATTTGACTTTGGTCAATATTTTTGTGAACGTGCTCAAATGAGAATTCCGTTAGAGTAATTAACTCCAAAGGTCATTTTTTATCTAATAGGATGGTTGGTTCGGGTTTTGAGGCTTTCATTTTAGTGTGTGCCGTTAGGTGTTTTAACTTATAAATTTTAGCCAAAATTTAACTTCGGTCAATTTATTAGATAAACGTGCTCAGATGAGAATTTCGTCAATGCAGATAGATGCGGAAGGTCATTTTTTATGTAATAAGATAGAGGGTTCGGGTTTTGAGGCTTCCATTTTTAGTTTGTGTCATTAGGTATTTTAACTTTTAAGTTTTGGCCAAAATTTCACTTTAGTCAATATTTTTGGTAATCGTGCTCGAATTGAAATTTTGTCACCACGGTTAGCCATATAAGTTCAGTTTTGGTCTCATAGGATGGTTGGTTCGGGTTTTGAGACTTTTATTTTCAGTTTGTGTCATTAAGCGTTTTAACTTTTAACTTTTGGCAAAAAATTGAACTAGGTCAATTTTTTTTGGGAAACATGCTCAAATTTGAATTTCGTCAGCGCGGTTAGCTCTAGAAGGTCATTTTTCATCTTATAGGATGGTTGATTTGGATTTTGAGGTTTTCATATTCAGTTTGTACCGTTAGGCGTTTTAACTTTTAACTTTTGGCCAAAATTTGACTTTGCTTAACATTTTTTTTAAACGTGCTCTGATGAGAATTCTGTCAGCGCGATTAGCTTTGGAAGGTCATTTTTATATCTAATAGGATGGTTACGTTGGTTCAGGTTTTGAGGCTTTCATTTTCAGTTTGTGCTGTTAGGCGTTTTAACTTTTAAATTTTGGCCAAAATTTAGATTTGGCCAATATTTTTGGTAAACGTGCTCTAATTAAAATTTTTGATATAATGATGTGTCATATTGAGATTAATTTAACTTGTTGTCATATATTTTGCATTGTTTCATTCAAATATGATTTATAAAATTGATATTAATATTTTTGGATTTATATACGTGCTCTTAGATTTTTAAATGCAATAAATTAATAAATATTTTACTATTGGATAATCATTCAATTAATAATATTTTGAACATATTGTCAATCAATTGATAACCTAACATTGAACTTGAATGATATATTACCAACAAACTAACAATTAGTGAGTAAATTTATTAGAAAAACAAATAATCATACTAACATATTTAAAATTTATTACCAACAAGGGTTGTGGTGCAGTGGTAAGTACTCCTACATCCTTAACCAAGAGGTCTCAGGTTCGATTCCCCTGGATATGGAGTCGCCTTGAATGATATATTACCAACAAACTAACAATCAATTAGTAGATTTACTAGAAAAACAAATAATCATACTAACGTATTTGAAATTTATTACCAACAAGGGTTGTGGTGGAGTGGTAAGTACTGCATCATCCTTAACCTAGAGGTCTTAGGTTCGATTCCCCTCGGGTACAGAGTCGCCTTTGTTAGGGAGCACACCGGATGGAAAACCAAAAAAAATAAAGTATTTAAAATTTATTGGTAAATTACCAACAAAAATTTACTATAATTACCAATGTATTACCAACGGAATCGAATAATGAAGAAAAAAATTTACTAATTCCTTTTCAATTCGTTAGTAAAGGTACTAACGATATACTAACCAACAATTAGTTGGTGAATTTACCAACTGAAATTTCAAGGCCATGTTTCAAAATTTTGTAACAACATCTTTGGGTGTTTACCAACCGATTTTTGATTGGTAAATCGGTTGGTAAGTTTACCAACAAATTAAAATCGGTTGGTAATATTTACCGACAAGCCTTTTAGCAACAGATTAATATAAGTTGGCATTTGGTTGGTAACTCAATTTGCCAACCAATTTGATCAATTTACCAACGAATTTTTTTATTGGTAATTGGGGTTCCTTTTGTAGTGGATACTTAATCAAAGGTCTCGGTTTTGAGTCCTCTTAAGTACGAAGTTGCCTTTGTTAGAGAGCATTTTACCCCTCAATGTGGGACTTCCCAGTGCGAATCCGGATTTAGCTGGACTCCAATGTGAATACTGGATCGGAAACATGAAAAAGGCTTGACTTACTAGAGTGATACATAAAAATCTTAGTCGTCATTTTCATTCAAGTGTTTTTTATTTGTATCAGATGCTTATATTAAATCAATATATACATAATATGTGTTTGTGTATATACTTCTTTCACGTAATTATGGTTAACTAATTAAACAAAATCTAAAGTATAGCAAGTAGATCGAAAAGCTTAACAAATGCCTATATAATAAGATGGTTCAAACTTTTTTTTAAATAATCACATTAGTTAATATTTTAGTATCGTATCTTGTTTGATTTGAAATAGATCAAGAACCATAATCATGTGGTATCTTGCATTAAACATTTTTTTTTAATGTAAATAACTGCATATATAGGACATGTAATTAAGTACAATAAAGACCTTATTTTTTGCCATGTTGTTAGTATAAGTTTAATTTATATTTGTAGTTTAGTCCATATTAAACTGAAAAAAGGAGACAAACTTATCTACATGACATATATTGTTTTGAAGATTAATACAAAACAAATGATAAAACTAATAAACAATTAGTGATTATCATATATATGCTTGTAATTAGAGATCAGAGCATGTGGGGTGCTTAATTAGCACTTATATAGACCACTAAGTTGCCAATGGAATGATTTGGATTTCTATTCTTAATTCGAGGGAATAAAAAGAAATTGATTTAAAAAATCCTTTCATTTTTTTAAATTAAAGGTTTCGAGTTCGAGCATTAAAAGGAAAACTTCTTAGTAGGAAGCTTTTTCTCTACTTCTACTTTTAAGCCAGGTTTGTTTTCATTAAGATTAATACGTTTGAATATGATTCAAATACTACTTCTAGATCTGAACACTAAATAATTAAGATTGGTTATTTTTTAGAATTTGATATTTAACAAATTGATTGATGGTAAATCTTGTCAATTTTTTTATTTTTTTTTAAAAACATATTATTGTTTGATATGTTATATACAATAATAACAAATAAAAAGTAATAATTTATCAGATGATAAAATTATAAAAATTAATAAATAAAGTAATTAAAATTTGAGCTGATTGAGTTTTGATCCACTTGTTTGCCCATTTGAACCAAACTTTTAGGCAATATCAATAATATACCTATTTATTAACTAAATTAACTTGATCCACTTAAATTCAATTTAATTTTAATCGGGGGTTTTAGGACCATATGTCATATGCGGTTACATTAGGCAATTATATCCTAGTGCTTTGGAGAAATTAAAGGCTTTGCTAAAGTAAGAATGATTTTAGTTAAAAGATTTAATAATTTCATAAATAATGACTAATTACTTTGCCTATGTCAAATATTTATCAAAAATGGTACAAAATACATAAATCTTATAATTACATGGAATTTTTCAAATTTAGTAATTAAATTATGAGACACGCGATAATAATATTTTTTATATTTTTAAATAAAAAAAGGGCACCATATAAATTCATGTTTCTCTAATAAAATTTTCTGGTCCCTCTTAATATGCCTTAATTATGTTGACATGGAAGCAACCAAAATTAACTTTCTTTTATTATTTGTTGTAAGTAGATATGGAAGTCACATCATTTTTTAAAAAAAATGAATTAGTTGATTTCCAAGAAGTAATTAGTGTAATAAAAGGTTGATTTTCTTCTTCTTTTTTTAAATTAGGAATGTTTAATATGAATATCATTGCTTCATAAATCAATAAAATTATGCATGTCCACTTTAAGTAATTTCATTATTACATCAGCAAGTAATGACATCTCATGCTTTCTACAGTAACAATATATCAAAAATGATCTTAACGATAATTAATTAACTATAGTAACTTAATTGCCGCTAAATATATAATTTTAGAGGCAATTGACATTCTTTGTAAATATTTCTAAAACATATAGCAACATTTGATCCAATAATAATTAACTCATAGTTGTTGTAAAACAAGAGGAAAATGCAAGAATACTTAAACACGAAAGTAAGACAAAGTGTGATGAGAAGTATAGAGTGGAGAATATTATTTAAAACTCTTCAAGTGTGTTCTCACAAGGGTGAAAAGACTACCCTTTTATAGGATTTAGAAAACACATGTTTTCATCCTTTAACCAAATACGTTAGTACAACTATAATAAATACGATAAATACATACATTGCGTAACAGACGAATTAAGAGAAACATCCACACAATTAAGTGGATTTGTAACACTCCCCCTTGGATGTTTATAAATAATGTGCCTCGTTAAAACCTTACTAGAGAAAACCCAGTGGGAAAAACCCTATTGAAGGAAAAAGGGTACACACATCTTGTAATACGCCTTGAGTGTTGCCTAATTAAAAACCTTACCAGGAAAACCTAGTGGGACAAAACCTTGGCTAAGGGAAAAAGAGTACAACGTGTATTTTACTCCCCCTGATAAAAAATTTATTTGAGATCTTGGAGACGACGCATTCCAATCTTGTATCTTAGCTTCTCAAATGTTGATGTTGGCAATGCCTTAGTGAATAAATCTGCAAGATTATCACTCGAACGAATCTGTTGAACATTTATCTCACCATTTTGTTGAAGATCATGTGTGAAAAAGAACTTAGGTGAAATATGCTTTGTTCGGTCTCCTTTGATATATCCTCCCTTTAATTGAGCTATGCAAGCAGCATTATCTTCATACAATATTGTTGGAATCTTCGTTTGCACAAAAAGACCACATAATTGCAAAATGTGTTTAGTCATTGATCTCAGCCATACACACTCTCGACTGGCTTCATGAATGGCTATTATCTCTGCATGATTTGAAGAAGTAGCAACTATTGTTTGCTTCATCGAACGCCATGATACAGTTGTACCTCCATATGTGAATAAATAGTTTGTCTGAGATCTAGCTTTATGTGGGTCAGACAAATATCCCGCATCTGCATAACTGATCAATTCTGACTTGGATGAATTAGAATACAACAACCCCATATCAATTGTTCCTTGAAGATATCTGAATATATGCTTAACACCTTTCCAATGTCTTCTTGTTGGACATGAGTTGAATCTCGCCAATAAACTTACTGTGAAGCAAATATCTGGTTGGGTATTGTTGGCAAGGTACATTAGTGCCCCAATAGCACTGAGATATGGTGTTTCATCACCAAGAATCTCTTCATCCTTTTCTTGGGGTCGGAATGGATCTTTATTTATATCGAGAGATCTCACAATCATCAGGGTACTCAATGGGTGTGATTTATCCATGTAAAATTGCTTTAAAACCTTTTCAGTATATATTGATTGACGGATAAATATTCCATTTGCCAAATGTTCAATCTGAAGGCCAAGACAAAATTTTGTCTTACCAAGATCTTTCATTTCAAATTATTTCTTCAAGCACTCAACGGTTTTTGAAAGCTCTGTAGGAGTTCCAATAATATTCAACTCATCAACATAAACAGATATTATTACAAATTCAGATTTTGACCTTCGTATAAAAATACAAGGACAAATAGGGTCATTCTTATACCTTTCTTTTAGCAAATATTCGCTAAGATGATTATACCACATTCGCCCTGATTATTTCAATCCATATAAGGATTTCTGAAGCTTTATTGAACAACTTTCTTTTGAATTTTCATATGCTTCAGGCACTTTGAGTGCTTCAGGGATTTTCATAAAAATATTGTGGTCTAGTGAGCCATATAAATAGGTTGTGACAACGTCCATTAGATGCACTTCAAACTTTTCATGAAATGTCATATTTATTAGATACCTGAAGGTAATTGCATCTACCACAAGAGAATATGTCTCCTCATAATCAATGTCAGGTCTTTGCGAAAATCCTTGTGCCACAAGTCGTGTTTTATATCTTACGACTTTACCATTTTCATTGTGTTTTTGCATAAAAACCCACTTGTACCCAACTGGCTTGAGACCTTCAGGGGTTCGGACTCTTGGTCCAAAAACTTCACGTTTTTCAAATGAAGCCAATTCTGTTTGAATTGCTTCCTTCCATTTTGACCAATCATTTCTCTATCTACATTCATTGACAGATCGTGGTTCTAAATCCTCATCTTGTTGCATTATTTCAACTGCAACATTATAGGCAAAAATATTATCCACCACAATATTATTTCGACTTCACCTTTTTCTCATCGAGACATAATTTATAGAGATTTTCTCGTTCTTATTATTTTCAGGTACATGGACCTCTTCTTTAGTGTCATCATTTATTATGTCTCGGAGCTCTTCATGAGCAATTGCCTCCATATTATGATCATCTTGATCATTTATTCCTTTCCTTTTCCGAAGATTTTTATCCTTGGAACCAATTGGTCTACCATGTTTTAAGCGTTGTCCAGACTCTTTTGCCTTAACATTTTGTCCTATCGGGACATTAACTCGAACTTGAGCATTAGCAGCTGGGATATATGATTTAGTAACCCGTGAAAGGTTAGTAAATGTATCCGGCAGTTGATTTGCAATATTCTGCAAATAAATTATTTTTTGAACTTCTTGCCCACATTGATTTGTTCGAGGGTCTAAATGAGACAGTGAAAGTGAATTCCAATATATCTCATTTTCCAACTACTTTTGTTCTCCCCCTAATGTTGGGTATATTGATTCATCAAAATGACAATCAGCAAACCTTGTTGTAAGTAAATCTCCAGTTCTAGGTTCCAAATATTTTATAATAGAACGAGATTCATACCCAACATATATCCCCAACCTTCTTTAGGGACCCATCTTTGTGCGTTGTGGTGGAGCAATTGGAACATATACCGCACAATCAAAGATTCTAAGGTGGGAAAGGTTTGGCTCCTGACCAAAACCAATTGTAATGGGGAGATGTCATGATAACTGGTTGGCCTTATGCGCACAAGTGCCGCTGCATGCAAAATAGCATGCCACTAAACCGAAACAGGCAACTTTGTTCTCATCAACAATGGTCTAGCTATCAATTGAAGACATTTAATCAATGACTCTGCTAAACCATTTTGAGTATGAACATATGCAACAGGATATTCAACTGTTATTCCAGTGGACAAACAATAATCATTAAATGCCTGAGATGTAAACTCATCAGCATTATCAAGACGAATTGTTTTTATTGCATAATCTGAAAATTGTGCTTTTAACCTTATTATTTGAGCCAACAACCTCGCAAAAGCCATATTGTGAGTTGATAATAAGCACACATGAGACCATCTTGTAGATGCATCTGTCAAGACTATATAATATTTAAATGGTCCACATGCAGGGTGAATAGGTCCACATATATCACCCTGTATCCGTCCCAGAAATGGAAGGGATTCCACCCCAACCTTATCCACTGATGGTTTGATAACCAACTTTCCTTGTGAACAAGCAGCACAAGAGAATTTCTTTGATTGAAGAACATTTTGGTTCTTCAAAGTATGCCCATGTGAATTCTCAATTATTCTGCGCATCATATTATAACCGGGATGGCCTAACCGGTCATGCCAAATGATAAAATCATTAGAACCAGTAAACCTTTTGTTTACCACGGCATGTTATTCAACTGTACCAATATTTGTATGGTACAACCCAGAAGAAAGTGCAGACAATTTTTCATGCACAATTTTCTTCTCTGCATTTATTGTAGTAATATAAAGGTAATCAACATTTCCTTCATTCGCAGTCTCAACATGATAGCTATTTTGGAGAATAACCTTGAAACTTAACAAGTTTCTTTGAGACTTACTATAATACAATGCATTATCAATTACCAATAATGTTCCTCCAGGTAGTAATAAGGCCGCTCTTCCAGAGCCCTCAATCAATTTTGTACTACCGGATATTGTATTAACATATGCCTTTTTCATTACCAAATGAGAGAAATACTTCTTTTTTCTTAGTATTGTATGAGTTGTGGCACTGTCCAGAAGGCACATATCTCCATTACTCATCTTGGATCCAACTGAAGACTGGAAAATTTTACTTATCTTCATAAAAATAAAAATACATAATAAGAAGTACAAAACTTAACAAAAGAAATCTTAATACATAAATTTTAATTAAGACATTAAAAATACATAAAAACATTATTCACTTCCCAGTTCAATTATCAATCTTTAGTTGCGATCTCCAAAGAAGTCCTCAGCTTCTAGATGAGTAATATCATCGAGCCCATCAAAAGCATCATCTTTCAATGCTAAATTTGCCTAAACATTCTCATCATATTTTTGAGAAGATCCTGCCTTAACATCATCTTTGAGAGTCAAATGTGACTCTACTCGAGCATTAGAAGAGGAGGTACCGCCTTTATTCCCTTTCCTTTTGAAGGAATGTTGATACAGCCTGACAAAATGCTCAGGTGCCCGACATTCATTTTTCTAGTGACCTTTAAGGCCACAACGATGACAGTGATCGCCCTTGCCTTTTGAAGGATTATTTTGAGAACCCATATTGTTCTCCCTTTTGTTATGACCACCACCTCGACGATTATTATATCGTTTTTTGCCTTTGCCACGCCCGCACACATTATCATGGCCCCGATTATTTTGTCTTATTTCAGACTGGCCATGTATTTCTACCCCGTGTGCCTCCTGTAATGGAGCACTTCCAGTGGGACGGGCTACATGGTTTTTCATTAAAAGGTCATTATGTTGCTCAGCCACCAAAAGGCATGAGATTAATTCAGAGTATTTTTTAAAACCTTTTTCACAATATTGCTGCTGTAATATCATATTGGAGGCATGAAAAGTAGTTAGTGTTTTTTTCAACATGTCCTCATCTTTTATAATTTCCCCACATAATTTCAGTTGGGAAGTTATTCTAAATACAGCAGAGTTATACTCAATTACGGTTTTATAATCTTGAAACCGTAAGTGCATCCACTCATAACGAGCCCTTGGCAATACCGTTGCCTTGAGGTTGTCATACCTCCCTTTCAAACCTATCCACAATTCAAGTGGATCTTTCACTGTTAAGTATTCAACCTTCAGGCTTTCATCAAGATAATGACAAAGGAAAATCATAGCTTTCGCTTTATCCTGACTTGATGCCTTATTTCCTTCGATTATACAATCACCAAGTCCTTTAGCGGTAAGGTGAATTTCAGCATCAAGTACCCATGACAAATAGTTCTTTCCAGAAATGTCAAGTGCCACAAATTCAAACTTTGATAAATTCGACATGATGAAAACTATCATAAAATAGTTGAGTTAATAACATGATTTTGATTTCTTTATAATGAAAGATAAATTAATATTTAAAATGATTAAGAATTAGTATAAAATATATCATATGCATGAACATGGGATGTTACAAAAGCATGTAAACTCATAAAGTCTGAAACGGTAAATTTAATATATATTCTAATTATTTTACAATATTTATTACTAGTTCAATAGTTATTAACGCCAAAGTTTCGTAAGATTTTTAAGTCATATTTAATATAATACTATTATTCTTTATGACACACCAGTATTTATCAAAAATTTATGACAAGAAATTAAAATACTTACGATTATTCTAACTAGCATGTTACCATATATCCTAGTATTTAATTTAGAGTTATAAGTTACTAGCATTTAAACAACATAAAAATATAAACCTGAAACGTATTGATTATTATGCCTAGTAAAGTATCATACAAATACCTAAAGCAAGTTATATATGCAGTAATTAAATCGTTGATCAAAGACTTATGTAAGTCCTATTATATATGTTATAAACATATAAATGTATACCTGACTCGGAAAGAAAATTGATTAACTTTTAGGGAAAAAGATAATTCCGAATTAAGTAGGTCTTAATTGGTTAGAAACTCGTGTTGATAACGTGTTGTAAAACAAGAGGAAAATGCAAGAATACTTAAACAAGAAAGTAAGGCAAAGTGTGATGAGAAGTATAGAGTGGAGAATATTATTTAAAACTCTTCAAGTGTGTTCTCACAAGGGTGAAAAGACTACCCTTTTATAGGATTTAGAAAACACATGTTTTCATCCTTTAACCAAATACGTTAGTACAACTATAATAAATACAATAAATACATATATTACGTAAGAGATGAATTAAGAGAAACATCCACACAATTAAGTGGATTTGTAACAATATCGATAAATGTTTTAATACTTTTTATAAATATGCATATTTATTGTTGTTATTTTTTTTTATAATGTAAATATAGGAGTAGAGCTACAATACTATGTATAGATTTGAATGAACTTAATAACTACTACTTTGATTACATATTTATATTAATGAATTCACTAAATATTGTACTAATTAAAAGG